TAGACGCGTTTTGGGGTGGCATGCGTGCCATTGCCAGAAACAAATCCGTGAGGGCTGCGGCCAAAGCGGACAATATCTACATGCGGGTTCTTGGGCTGTTACATTGGTATCAGAGCCGGTTCCCGGGCCGGTGTGCCAGCGAGGGCGCTGGACTCCCTTGAGGGGGGGTGGATATAGTCCCACATCGGTTAGGAAGGAGAACGAAGCATGCCATATATATGGGTGTGGATACCTTCCTTGTGTAGACGCGTTTTGGGGTGGCATGCGTGCCATTGCCAGAAACAAATCCGTGAGGGCTGCGGCCAAAGCGGACAATATCTACATGCGGGTTCTTGGGCTGTTACAACACATGCATCCAAATCAAGTCCCAAATGGACTCTCATCTCAAATCAATCATCAATTCATCAAACATGAAGTCAACACCACACACTTCATCATACTAGAAATCATGCAATACATGCAACTCATGACAGATATCAATGCATATCAATCATTTAATGCGTCGTCACGCATACACCTAGGAGATTTCCCGAACAGTAAAGCAGTATAAGTGACATCCCAATCCTACTAAAACCACCCCAACCATTTTTACGCCCAATGTGCCCGCTCGGTCACAACTAAATAGGATATAAATCCTCACTCGGGTTTACTCGGATGATGTCACTTACATACTTTGAAGTCCGGTTCCACCGTCAGGTATAGCACAGCTGGATACAGACTTACCACGACCTTGACATGCATTACCAAGTCACTTGTAGAGTTCGCCCACCGACTATCCGCAAGGAACCACACACCTTCCCCAGTACTTGGTTAAGGGAATAACCTTCGACCTCATACTCCGCTCCAACACTAGCTAAGGACTTAGAGGAGACTCACCAAAACTAGTGGCCTATTTGAGCACCACTCTCACCCAAAAATAGTGACCTATCTAAGAACCACTCTCATACAAATCAGTAGCCTATCAAAGCGCCACTCTCAAGAGACCCCGTGTGAGCTCTTCCAGTTCGAAAATATTTCCCTCTCCTCAAGTCCTAGGCTAGACACATGCCACAAGGCATCATATGCAATAATGCATCATACATCATACATGGTCTATCCACCATCATGATCAATATCATTCTCATATGAACATATACATATGTCATATCATATTTAAACATTCATACATATCATTACCAAGCATACATATGAATCATACACCACCATACATCATATATCATACATACATGATCCAAAACTTTAACTTTAAACATGCATAAGCATCCTTTTCAACCAACATTACTAAACATACTCACGCCCGGTGCGCTCAACTTGAGCTCGGCCTAAACCCAACCAGAGAGTCCTAAAACCCATCCACGCCCGACGTGAAACAGTAAAGCAGTATAAGTGACATCCCAATCCTACTAAAACCACCCCAACCATTTTTACGCCCAATGTGCCCGCTCGGTCACAACTAAATAGGATATAAATCCTCACTCGGGTTTACTCGGATGATGTCACTTACATACTTTGAAGTCCGGTTCCACCGTCAGGTATAGCACAGCTGGATACAGACTTACCACGACCTTGACATGCATTACCAAGTCACTTGTAGAGTTCGCCCACCGACTATCCGCAAGGAACCACACACCTTCCCCAGTACTTGGTTAAGGGAATAACCTTCGACCTCATACTCCGCTCCAACACTAGCTAAGGACTTAGAGGAGACTCACCAAAACTAGTGGCCTATTTGAGCACCACTCTCACCCAAAAATAGTGACCTATCTAAGAACCACTCTCATACAAATCAGTAGCCTATCAAAGCGCCACTCTCAAGAGACCCCGTGTGAGCTCTTCCAGTTCGAAAATATTTCCCTCTCCTCAAGTCCTAGGCTAGACACATGCCACAAGGCATCATATGCAATAATGCATCATACATCATACATGGTCTATCCACCATCATGATCAATATCATTCTCATATGAACATATACATATGTCATATCATATTTAAACATTCATACATATCATTACCAAGCATACATATGAATCATACACCACCATACATCATATATCATACATACATGATCCAAAACTTTAACTTTAAACATGCATAAGCATCCTTTTCAACCAACATTACTAAACATACTCACGCCCGGTGCGCTCAACTTGAGCTCGGCCTAAACCCAACCAGAGAGTCCTAAAACCCATCCACGCCCGACGTGAAATCCCCACGCCTGGCATCCTTAAAACAAAGACTTATAGGAGTCTCCACATCCAGAGCGCTCACCCTATGCCCGACGTTGACTCAAATAGAGACCTCAAAAGGGTCTCTATGCCCGGCACGTCAACTCCGCGCACAACGCCATAATAGGCAGAGACCTTCAAGGGTCTCCACACCTAGCGCATCACCCTTGCGCCTGGCGCCACATCAGTAAAACAACAAACAAGTCCACTATCTGATATCGCACCTGGCGTGGTTCTTGCCACTCCCGGCGTGACCCATCCAGAGACCTCCATCTCAATTCACGCCCGACGCGACTAACCTTGCGCCCGGCGTGAATTTGAAATGGTTATCTCTGATGAATACACGCCCTACGCCAAGAACTGCGCCCGACGCAAATTCAAACAATAGCCTCCAAAACTTTTAAAATTTTCTCCAACCCCTGAAAATCAGCAAATCCGGCCACATGCAAACCAGGAAATACAATGCATAGGTTCCATACAACTCGAAAGAAAACTCAGATTCAACATGCACCCATTTGATGCATCAAAATCACCAAAAACCCCATTTTTTCCCAAAACCTCGAAAAATGAGAATTTTTTCAATTCAACCATGGATTCTCCAAATTCATGCATCAATTGAGTTCCTAAACTCACATGCAACCAAACAACATACATTCTAGCTTTCCTCACCTGAAGATTGGCTCAAAATGGCCAAGAACTGAGAAGAAGAAGAATTTTCCTCCAAAGCTCGATTCCGAACTTCAATCCTCCAATAGCAAGCTTTCTAGCCTGAATTTCAAGAGAAGATAAAAAAGATTAGTAATCTAAAAGAGAAGAGGAATCAAACAAAGAAATTTGGGAGAGAAAGAAGCTCACAGACCTAGAGTCTTTCTTTCTAAAACTTTTCTCTAAGTTTCCTTGAGAATGAACTTATGAAGTTCCTTTTTCATATAAACCCTTATATACTCTTCTCTCTAGAGTCAACTAAACTTTGAACTCTACTCACTACGTTACAAATTATATGTAAATTGTTGATTTGTTATTTTAAGTTAAATATGATATTTTTTATATATTAGATTATGATATGATTATACTCTACAAAGAAGAAGAAATTCAATTTTTTGCAAACAATGTTTTTGTAAAAAATATCTATATTGTAGAAAAATAGTACTATAACTAAATGTTGGAATTTTTATTTTTAAAGAAATTTATATTAATATTCTTAAAATTTTTTATGAGTAATAAAGTAGATTTTAACTATTCTTAAGAATATTGGTTTCTAAAGTTTGTAATTCCTATAAATCATGATTTTTCTAAGTATATAAAAAAAAAAATTCTCCTACCAAAACTATTGATAAGTTTACCAATATTTACTTTTAAAAAAATAATCTCTCCTCTTATAAATCTTGTTTATTTAGTAGTATTTTTTTAAGAGATTTATTTAGTAACAATAAATATATACCATACATAATGTAGATTACAATATATGTAACACAAATAACTTAATAATTATATAATTATAAAATATTATATAATTTTAAAATTATTAAATTTGTAATAAGAGAATAAAATGTATAATTATAATATTTGAAAGGTTAAAATTGTTAAATTAATATTTGAAGGATAAAATTGTCCAATTATGATATTTAAAGAGTTAAAAAATTTCAATTAAAATATTGAAAACCAAGCATTTTTCTATTTTATTAAATTGAAAAATCAAAATGAATCTGCTTATCAAATTGAGAGGTCTAATTGTGGATATACTTGAATTTAACTGCAGTAATTATTATATATATAAAAAAAAAACTGCACATTGGGTTTAAACTCGTAGCCCGACCCATATGAATCGTGCACCCATATTAAGCGGTGTGTTTGGCCGTTATAGTCTGATTGATAAAGGCAAAAAGCAAGCACCCATCCACTCTATCTGTCTGCTTTGGTCGTCGGGATGGAGCAAAACCTAACCTCAGCCACAGAAGCAGAGCTCGAGAAAGATAAAGTCGTGGCTGATTCCGACCAGAGGATGGGGCAAAGTCTAGCCCCGAGCTCAGAAGCAGGGTGCGGGAAAGACAAAGCCATGGCTGATTCCGACGATTCTGATTCAGAGGACGAAGCTCAGCAGAACCTCCAACTCGAATCCCTCCAGACCGAGCTTGCTGCTAACCCCTCCAACTACGATGCTCATTTGCAAGTAATTTCTTTCTTCTTCAACTATACTCTACTTCTCCATTTCCCTTTCTTCCAACCCTTCTCGTTTCATTTGCTTGCTGTTGATGATCGTCCTTTTCAGTACATAGCGCTTTTGAGGAGAACGGGTGATGTTGATCAGCTGACAATAGCCCGGGAAGCTATGAGTGAACTCTTTCCGTTGAGCCCTACAATGTGGCTCCAATGGATCAAAGACGAGCTTTCTATCGACACTGCTTCTCGGTCCTCTTCTCTTCCCTCCAGTTCATATTGCTCTTCTTTCCCCCATCCTATTAGTATTTTTTGAACTACTTTTTCTTACACTTTCCCTTTACCATGCAGACCCGAGGCTTTCTCTAGAATTCTGAAGCTTTACGAACGGGGGGTCTTTGATTACCTGGTTGGTTATTATATTTCAATATGCTGCCCGCTTTAGAGAATTAATGTCTACTTCAGCAATTAATTTGTTTTCCTAGTTAAATTGAAGTTTTCTCTTTTAAACTGTAGCTCTTCTACTATTTAGGGTTTAGATATGGTGGGAGAACCATGGGCAACCTTTTTTTTTTCTTTCAACATTTATAATCAATTTGTTCTTTAGAAGGTTTTTCTCAACTGTTGCATTATCCTCAATTTCAGTCTGTATCTCTCTGGTGTGACTACATTAATTTTGTCCAAGAGTTTGATCCAATTGTACGCCAATGTACACCTACTGGTATTTCTAAGACAAGGGATTTGTTTGAGAGTGCCCTTACTGCAGCCGGGTTGCATGTTGCTGAAGGCAATAAAATATGGGAAGCATACAGGCAATATGAGCAGGCTATACTTTTAACCATCGATGATACTGATGCACAGGTCTGAACATTTTTAAATTTACCATAGATCTATCTTAATGGTGCTAAACAATGTGCCAGTATTAGTCGAGCTCTATGCAACTTTTACATGTTAATACAATGTTTTGCTTTGTGGTTCAATCCCCAAGCGTTGCATCTGATCAAGTATTTTTTGTATGAAATTATCTGTCAAAAGAAAGTGTGAACGTTGATTACTCAGATAGATGCTTTATGTATCCTTTGCCTTCCTATTGTATACAAACTTGAACATTTTTTGTTGATCAGAAACCAAAGGTATTACTTGGCTTATATAATTGAGGACAGAACAACTTAGTTTCGTCAAAAATAAGTTTTGGTCCCGAGGTAGTGCCTTGAATGCACAAATACCTCCAAAGAACAAAGAAAATCCAGCCGCCAAAGAGAAACTTGATTTGGAGTTTAACTTTTGACATTTGCAAAGGAATTTGGTTTATTGAAGCATTTGGTAGCATTATAGGTTGTTTCAGTAGTACATTAAGTTTTCTTCTATCTTTTCAGGCCAAAGAAAAGCAAGTCCAACACATTCGTAGTTTATTCCACCGCCAATTGTCTGTTCCTCTTGCTGATATGAGTTCAACACTTACAGCCTATAAGACCTGGGAGGTGGAACAAGGAAATCTTCAAGATGTTGAATCCATTGAATTGGTTGATATTTATCCTCATGTTGCATCTTCGTACCAGAAGGCCTTGGAGATGTATAATGCTCGTTTTCATCTTGAAGAACAGATTTTGAGCTCGAATGTTTCGAATTCAGAAAGACTACAACACTACATGGTATGTCTCCCAGTCAAAATATGACTATTTACTGATAGAATCCTACAATTGTTTATTTATGGTTCTTTTGTATGTATAATTTCTTTTAAAGAAGATATTTGTATTGCAGAACTATTTGAAATTTGAGCAGTCTTTTGGAACGCCAGCTAGAATTCAAGTTCTATATGAACGAGCTATAACTGACTTTCCTGTATCTCCCGATCTCTGGCTTGATTATACTCGCAACTTGGACAACACTTTGAAGGTTTTATATTTTCCCCTTGTTATTTTGTAACATCTCATGGTAAACAATATCTCTGAAGAGTGAAGAGTTGGTCTTTAACCAAGCCGAATGGCATCGTGTGATTCATGTAGCCAACTCCACTTAGTGGGACAAGGCCTTTGTTGTATTATGTCACATCACAACATCCATTTCCTAAGTCCAAATTTCTAATTTTGAAATTTCTCCCTTTTGCTTCTTTCTCTAGGTTGGAAATATTGTCAGCAATGTTTATTCTAGGGCAACTAAGAATTGCCCTTGGATTGGAGAACTTTGGGTTCGGTATATGCTTGCCTTGGAGCGTGGTCATGCTTCTGAGAAAGACTTGTCTGATGTATGTTCTTGTATACAACTCATCTTTATAGCAAAATTTCCAATTTCTTGATGCAAATTAAATATTAAGAAATCCAATTAATGTTTCTTTAATCCTCAATGGGCTCAATGGTTTATTAATGAGTAAATAATGTCATTTGTGGTTTAATAACAGGCAAGTTTTTTGGTAAAAAACGCACTTGTCTTTCTAATAGTTTGTCCCTGATTTGAAAGTTATTGTATCCCAAGAGGAAGAAATATTGACACACATGATGATGTTTACCAAATTGGCACATATGACCTTGGGGTTCTGTTATGAAAGGCATATTGTCAATTTGTCATATGTGATAATATTTGCAGTTGAAAAAAGCAATGATCGCAAATGTCTTTTAATTTTTTCATAAATTTAGTGTACTGATATGTATAGATTCTTTTGGTGTCTTAGTTGTACCACAAATTGTCAATTTTTATCAAGAAAAGGCAGGGTAGAGTGTGATATAACCCATCTGGCCATCTTGTGTTGTCTAATTACAAGGCTGGAGTTAACTTGAGTGCAGTGTGCATCTTTAGATTTCTCCTTGAACATTCAACTGTTTACTTTAGAGTGCGCATATTTTTTCCATCACGACCCACAGCTGTTTTCTGCCCTAGCCAAGTCCCAACAGCTGCTATATATGCATGAGTTTTTTTATTATTAATGATGAATAGTTCATGAATTTTCAGTCATGTTTCTATTTTTTATCACATACACACACACGCATATATTAGAATTATCCACTATCCCATTTTTGGGTTTGGCCACTTCTTTCCATTATTGGGGATTGACAACTATGATTAATATAAAGGCCAGCGATGAATAGGTACCATGGATAAGAAATGTTAAGTAAAAGCCCTTTCTACAACTGGGGAGAAAATATCTGTAGGATTGTTAGTGTACTGTACAGTTAGAACATATACAGTTAGTTAGAACAGTTGCTTTCAGTTAGTTAGTTTGACAATTGTATTTGACACTTTAGTTGTGCAGTTGGTTAGGTCTAACCAGCCCCTGCACTTAGGGATATGCAAAAAACCCAAACCGATCCTAACCATATTAAAAAGTTTGATCCATTTTAAGAAAAAATCTAAAATGGTCCACTTTGCCGAATCGGTTCAGTTATCCAATCCATTTTCACAAAGTGGATTGGTTTAGTTTGATTTGGTTTGGTTTTTTTAAAAAAACCAATCCATATGAGTATAATGTAGATAACTGCACTGCTTTAAACTGATCCAGTTTAAAAAAATCCAATCTGAATTTTTAAAAAACCAAACTGATCCACTTTATAAAAAAATAGATCGGTTAACCAATCCACTTTTATAACATGGATCGGTTTGGTTTGAATTTTTCAAAGGTTTGAGCCATAAACTCCCCTACCTGCACTTCATATATAGGTGCTTTTCTGCAAATCACTTTAGAATTCAATAATGCACATTTTCAGTTATCTCTCTTTGGTTTATAACATGGTAACAGATCTTGAAAAGCCAAATTCATGGATTTTTACATGGTGGTACTAGTACAGATGCCAAAAGGATTTGACACTTTTCTCAACTTGCAATTCTTTGGTGTATTGGTTGGAAAGAAATGCTACAATCCTTGTTAGTTGTTGATTACCTAGCTTGTTGGTTGGAAAGAAATGCTACTCATGATCTTCTTATATGGGTGTCTTTGTTGGTTCGACAAAGATTGGCATGCTGCATTGCATTTTTGTTTTAATTTTTTGTCCTTTTATTCATGATCTTTTTTTTTTTTAAAGTTCTTGAGGATTTCTTATACTGTTGCATTTATACTCTTCTCTTGATATATTCTTTGATTATAAAAATCAATTTTGCCAATGATTTCAGGTCTTTGAGAAGTCCCTGCAATGTACCTTTTCAACTCTGGATGAGGTATATCTAATATTCAATTTAGTTTGTTGCATCATTCTCTGCAGTGCTTGTAACATTATTATTATTTTTTTCTAATTCCATTTCCTCACTTCCCGTAAGTTACAATAAGTTGCATTAATAAACTTTTCAATTTATATTTTTGTTTCAGTATCTTGATTTGTTTCTTACTCGGGTAGATGGCTTAAGGCGAAGAATGACATCCACTGGTGAACAGGATTTGGAATATAAAATAATAAGGGAGACCTTTCAGGTTGGTTATATTTATTTCCAGTAATGCTATGTTGGAGTTGAAAGTAAAAATGGTTTAATGGTACTTTTGCTCCATTAATTTTGATTGTCTTTGTTAGATTTTTTTCTCGGTCTCCACCTCGTATATTTATCCAGCTGCAGTAGTTTGACCATGTGAGAAGCCCAATAGAAGTGTAGTAAGAAGTTGATCTGATTTAGGATAGTCCAATAGTTTGAGGTAGGCGGAGCCCAAGAAAATCTTTCAATTAAAAAGGACTTAACTTAGATTTGTTGGACTTTCTAATGACTTGATTCATGACAAGTAGTGTTGTTTGATTGGGGGAAAAGGTTTTAGTTATTACTGTACTTCTGCAGCAAGTATCCTTGTGGCCATTTATGAAATTAATGTTTAGCATGGCAATAACATCAGAAAAAAGAAAGGGAATAGCACATGCTAATTTCAATATTAAACCATATATGAAGGATCAATACATTAATTTGCTTCACATATCCGTATCCAAGCCTTTAAAAAAATTATTAAAATCCATATACACAAGACATTGAAGCATGGATAGCATAGAAACATAGAGGCATTATCCTTTGATGAACTAAAATGGAAATATTCATTATAATGATTTCAAGAGAGAAGTGAGATTAAGAGTACTTTTCGTCTACTCCTATTTGTAAACAATAGGAATTAATTTATGATCACAATTTATAATTTTTTTTTTCTTTAGTAATGTCCAAGAAGTTTGTTTCTTAATTTGGATTGGTAGCATTGCAATTATGCATTTATTATTTTTTACTCCCTTTTTCCTTATTATAAAACGCAATTTAGAAGGAAATAGTAGTCCTTTTTATAAGGCATTTTACAATTTATATAAAGCATTAATTTTATTTTTCATTTTTTGACCCTATTAAAGATTGTGAGTACATGTATTTCTTGTTGTTGAATAATGAGAAATAAACGTTCTCTATCCCACCTCTTGAACTATCCAACTGTCATTTATCAATTATTATTGGTATTAGTGCATAAGCTTTGGTATGGAGGAATATCTTCTACATTGAAAATGGTATTAGTTTCTGCGATGTACTGTTTATAAGAGTAAAAATGGGACATCATAATGTTTTTTAAAAAACCAATAAAATAAACCAAAATAAGTACAATGTTGGTTTGTTTGATTCTGTTACAAATGTCTTATAATAAAGAACGGATGGAGTATTAGTTTGTATCCATATCCTATACAATTTTAGAATAACTATATGTTGTATCGAATATGTATCATATCTATGCATAATAGGTTGGGGATGTCCAAGTGGGTTGAATTTAGTAGGTCAACCCAGTTAACCCACCAAAATGGATTGGGTTGGGTAATTCTTCCCTTCAACCTGTGTAACATGCCGACTCAATGGATCAAAGGGTGGGTTGGGTTGACCTACTGGCTACTGGGTTGTTTATTTTTTAGATTTTTGATCAATTATTTAGTTAAATATTGTTGCTTTACTCTACTTTTTTTTAAACTCATGATGATGATAATTTCTAAAAAAAAGTTGTGCTAAAACAGTTTAGTAAGATAATATTTTTGTAATTGTGACATTATGTTTAAATTATTTATATTTATTTGTAGGTCAACGTACAAATCATTCACACACATATTTTTTAATTTTGGCCAGTCTAACCCAACCCAAGACGCTTTTGTTGTTGTGTTAAGGCCAGGTTTGTTTGAGTTAACCCATTTGACATCCCTATCATAGGTATCCATAGACTTAACTTGTAAGATTGACTAATACAATTGTAATATGTAAAAAAAATTATCTTAGTATCCGATAAAAGTCAAATGAGCTAGCAGATTCTCAGAGATTCAGATGACTCATGGATTGACATTTCAGGCAAGTCTACTTGATTTATGCCAGTTCTAATCAGAAACAAGTTTTAATGTGAGTCAACTCGTTTTCCCTACCTGGAAACTTAAAACTTGTACAAGCCTGTGGTAACCTGTTAGCCAAACCATAGCTGTTATAAATTTCATAGTTCTATTATACATTTTGAACAAATTTGAAAATTGAAAGAAAGAATGTGCTACAGATGATGTGAAATATTTAAATTAGGTTAGTTTAACCCAGACACTTAAGGAAGGATGTCACTGACAATGTGATAGCTGCATTTCTTCCAGCCTTCTTAAAGTATACTTCATGTGTGATATTCTTTTTTCTTTTTTCCCTAAAGAATTATCTTGGTAACTTATGTTGATCATTTAGTACAGTATACGTACTTGATGACACATTGGTCACTGATCATGTTAATAATCTATTCCCTAACAACTTTAATGCCATTTAATATTCATGTATTGTTTTGAGGCTCGAAGTTCGTATTGGCTACATTGCTTTTCTCAGATAAGTGACATTAGCCTTTTCTTCTCAATAAAATTAAGTGTGTTGCAAGAAGAGGGTTTGCACTAACTAATCAACTCATCAACTGTTGTGAATCAGCTAAAATGTATTCTTTAAAACCTTATGTATTTTGTGTTATGTGCTAACTATTTACTATTTCTAGCGTGCATCGGATTATCTATCACCTTACTTGAAGAATACAGAGGGTTTGCTACATTTACATGCTTATTGGGCCCGTTTAGAAACAAAACTTGGAAAAGATATAACTGCAGCTCGTGGAGTTTGGGAGAGTTGTCTTAAAATATGGTTTGATAATGTTCATTTAATTCATTTTTAAATCAAATAATTTTGATTTTGTTTTATTCATCAAATTAATTTTAAACTACTTTTTGACTCTTATTTTTTTCATATGGTAGTGGTTCAATGTTGGAGGCATGGAATCGTTATATAGAAATGGAAGTGGAATTGGGTCACATAAATGAAGCAAGATCCATATACAAGAGATGCTACAGTAAGAGATTTTCTGGGACTGGTTCAGAGGTAGAATCAGCTTTATGTTATTTCTATAAAATATTGAAATTTTTATGTTATTTCTATAAAATATTGAAAATTTTATTTTAGTTTGTGTAAATTAGATTTAATTAGGCCAGTCAGCCTGCTTAAAAAGGTTGTCTTGATGGGAAGGACTATCATATAAAGAAACGAAAAGGAAAACCTTGGTTGCATAAGGCAATTGATATAGCTTCTTAACACTTAAATAATTGGTACTTATGATATGTTGATCTTATCTAATTGACTCATTGAAGTTTCAGTTCTAACTTTGATTTGGTGTTGCCACAAAAAACGAAGTTACTGAAAGCCGTAGATATAAGCTTTGTTAGAGTATTATGCATGAGTGGTGTTCTGTGACTACAGTGGGTTAGCTTGTAATAGAAATCTTCTGTAACTAACTAAATTGGTTAGCTTCTGTTTAAAGTATCTAGAACAATTGTTCTCCTAGTAGTTAGGATTCTATTCTTGGGTCTGTTTGGATAAATTTTTCTAGAAACACTTTTGGGAGAGAAAAATAGGAAGAAAAATCAAAATAAACATCTTAAAACTAGGTTATTTATGAGTTAAAAAGTAATATTTTAGAAAAGATAATAGGAAATAACATCTAAAATTAGCTTATGCATAAGCTAATTTTAACTTACGGAGAAACTTATTTTATTTTTCCTTATTTTTCTCCTCTAGAAGTGCTTCTGGAGGAGTTTTTCTAAACATGCCTTTAATAGAATGAAAGCTGACATGCAGTTATCATGCACTACACTCGGCTCACATTTCATTCAGTCATTCCAATCCCATAAAATTAGCTAGATAAAAGGTAATACTATCAAATAAGGAAACAATTCAGAATGCATGGATATGGCAATAGTACTGAGACGAAATAATTGAGAGAAAAAAAACTGATAATGGAATCTTGCCCAGACAGATCAGGTCTGATCTGGATTCTGTCTATCGTGCCGTTTTATTTTAAAGTATACTTTAATATTTTGGTAAGATCTTACATGATTTACAATCTTTCACCCACTTATGCTAGATAGGATCTCTATTTTGACAACCTTGCTTGGGATGTACACAACATTCCCTCATTAGCAAGGGGGCTGAGGCCTGAGGGTCACAAGCAACAACCACATTGTGCCAAGGCTCATCCTCAAATAATTTTAGATAGCCTGAGGGGAAGCACAGTAGTATAGTCAATTAACATATGAAGAAAACTATAAAATTGCTGAGAAAATGTGTGTATTTAACCATGCAGACACTACTTTATTTATAATCAATAAGGATATAATTAAGGAAACAAATAATGGTTGCAATCCCTAATTTTCAGCTATACAATTGATAAGGATACAATCTTATCAACAATATTGACATATTTCTCTATTTACATAAGGATAGAATCACATCTTTAACAAAAACTACCAATGAAAGCATCAATTCATTGTGCTCTAATTTCCAGGATGCGTAGCTGTGAAAAGTCATTTTTTTCCGTCAGCAAATGATAAAAAAGATTGTGTTTAATGTGTTATGCAACATGTATGGATGATTTTACTTGCTATGCAATACTGTTTGGATTAGATGATACCTTCTGTTCCTAAAAAACAGAATAATTCAGGACATATGTCACTCATGGTTACGCTTTGAGAGGGAATTTGGCAAGTTGGAAGATTTTGATCATGCATTACACAAGGTACATTTTTTCCTCTTAAAATTCATTTTCATTAGTTCTGAACAACTTCACATTATCTTTGTTTTTATAAAATATCTGTTGGACTTATAGAAGTGGCCTTTGCCTAACGGCCTAGGCTTTTAGAAGAGATTGTATGCAACAATTGTATTGCATGACGGTAGAAATATCCAATGATTATTTGGAAGTAATATTGATGATATCCTAATGTCTTCCCCTGCAGCTGATTAGTTCTTCAATCAAACTAAATGTCATTAAAATTAAAATAATAAATTTCTATTGGCTTTTTATTTGAAAATTTATTATAACTTAATCTAAACTGAATGCATCACTAATTATTCAAAATTTTAATCCTAGTCCTTGCGAACAGTGTTTCTAGTATTTGTACTTGTAATCTCCAGGTCACAAGGAAACAAGTTTAAGTTTAAGTTGTAGTGGTTTTTCATTGCCAGAGTTTTTGTTGTGGTTTTATACCACTAGAATGTTTCTCTGTTGTTATCTTATATGCATGTGTAGGGACTATATATTAGAACTAAAACTTAAAATAGAAACAACTATAGTGTAGAGCCCAATTAATGAGGCAAAATAGCAGGCCCAAGGTTTTGGAGAGTCTAACTAGGAGGAATAAGATATAACAGATAGGAATCTGTTATCTATTAAGGAAGTTGATAAGTGTTACTGTTTTGTTTTTTAAATTTAAAGTTAGGATTATCTAGGAAGTTGATAACAGATAGGATTGTTAGAATCTGTTTTGTTAGAATCTGTTTTATTAGCTGTGTTAAGATATTCTAAGATATAGTTTAGATATATTATTTTATCTTTTCCTAATTTATAGTTTATCTTAATCCCTAAACTTTAGGGATTGTTTCTGTTACTTGTCTATTTATTTGATTGTACCCATCAATTCAGATTAATAAGAAAAATTATTCTACTCTAAATTTGAGATGGCATCAGAGCTCTCAAATTCTGGGAGCCGCCTCTGACTGCGCAAACCAAAACCCAAGACGACAGCCTTCATTGTTGTCAATCATTTTTTTAGGACAGCCAGCAGCATTGCTACTATGATTTGTAGTGTTGTTTCTTAGTTGTTGTCACAACAATCAAATACATACTCACTGCATTAGGGTTGTTGTACTACGGTGGACATGGCAGACCCAATTGCTGAAGTGGTGAATACTGAGTCTCAGAACACTCAGGAACAACTGCAGAACCTCAACATTGCCTACCGATTGAATGGGAAGAATTACTTGAAATGGGCCCAGCTTGTTCGTAGAACTTTGAAAGGTAAAGGGAAAGCTAACCACTTGACTGAAGATGCTCCTAAGGAAGAAGATCCCAAATTTACAAAATGGGATGAAGAGGACTCTATGATCATGGCATGGCTATGGAACTCCATGATCCCAGAAATCACTGATACTTGCATGTTTCTTAATTCTGCAAAGGAGATTTGGAATGCCATGGAGCAGACATACTCCAAAGCTAAAGATGCTGCTCAAATATATGATGTGAAGGTGAAGACTGTGGCTGCAAAACAGGGAAACAAGACTGTTACAGAGTATGCCAATCAACTCAAATCCCTGTGGATGGAGTTAGACCATTACAGGGTCATAAAAGCCAAGTGCTCAGATGATTCAGCAATGCTCAAAGAGTATATTGAGCAAGATAGAGTCTATGATTTCTTGGTAGGGCTTAACTCTGATTTTGATCAAGTGAGAGTCCAGATCCTTGGAAAAGAAAAAATTCCAGGAATTAATGAAGTAGTAGCTATGGTCAGAAGTGAAGAAAGCAGAAGGGGAATAATGCTAGAAACCCCAGCCATGGAAAATTCAGCCATGGTAGCTTCAGGATCAGCCATGATGGTAGACTAGAAAAAGGGGGGAATAGCTAATATGGAGAAGAAAGGTGAAGGAGTGTGGTGTGCCTTCTGTAACAAGCCTCGCCACTCATGAAAAATGCTGGAAGCTGCATGGAAAGCCACCTAGTAAGGATTGGGGGCCCCAAAACCGAGACAAGGAGTGGGGAAAAAAAGGAGACAACACCAGAAAGGGAGGACAAGCACACATAGGTGTTGCCACCATTGAAGAAAACAGAGGAGGAGTGACTCAACTTAACCAGAATGAAATAGAGCAGATGAGATCATTCCTCAACAAGTTGGATAAGTCAACAGGTACTTGTTCTCTCGCACATTCAGGTATGTTTCCTTTGTCTTTTGGACTTAATGCCTCAGATAAAAACCATAACCCATATTGGATACTAGATTCTGGGGCTACCGACCAAATGACACCCCTACCTAAACATTTCTCTTCTTACACCCCTTGCCCTAGCAACAAGAAAATCTAGCAACAAGAAAATATTCACAGCAGATGGCTCTCTGATGACTGCAGCAGGTCAAGGAGAAGTTTAAACTTTAAATAAGCCCATCTATAACCCTTAAAAATGTCCTTCATATTCCTAAATTGACTGTCAGTTTGATTTCCATAAAAAAACTCATAAAAGACCTATCATGTAATGCCATTTTTTATGACAATGTTTGTATACTGCAGAACAAGTACTTGGGGAGGACGATTGGACATGCTAGAGAGTGGAATGACCTTTATTACTTGGATAATCCGGATTTGCCACCAGACCTGGAAAACAACAACTCTTTTTTCTCTGATTCAATGAAGGCCAACAGGGAGAAGGTCTTCCTACATCACTGTCGTCTTGGACATCCTTCCTTTAGAGTCATAAAATTGTTATTCCCTTCCCTTTTTAGCAAATTAGATGTGGAAAGTCTCCATTGTGAAGTGTGTGAGCTTGCTAAGCACAAGCGTGTACCTTTTCCAGTTAGTAATAATATGAGCACTTTTCCCTTCTATTTAATTCATACTGATGTGTGGGGTCCCTCAATTGTCCCAAATGTTTCTGGTGCCCGTTGGTTCCTCACCTTTATAGATGATTGTACTCGTGTCACATGGGTCTTTTTACTAAAACAAAAATCCGAAGTCAGCTATGTGGTTCAGCGTTTTTTCTCCATGGTAAAAAATCAGTTTGGAGTTAGCATTAAGAGGATTAGATCCGATAATGCCAAAGATTACTTTAATCATGGGCTTATTTCCTTTTGTCAAAAGGAAGGTATCATTCATGAGTCATCCTGTGTCAAAACACCTCAGCAAAATGGGATTGCTGAGAGAAAAAATGGTCACCTACTTGACCAAACTCGGGCTCTTCTTTTTCAACATGAGGTTCCTAAAAGGTTTTGGGGGGAGGCTGTTCTTACTGCATGTTATCTAATTAATAGACTACCTTCTAGTATTCTAGCCTCAAAAAGCCCTATGGAGGTTTTGTCCTCCTTTTATCCTAATGTTTCCACATCCAATCAACTTATTCCAAGAATATTTGGGTGTGTGTCTTTTGTCCATGTCCACAGTGGTAATAGAGGTAAACTTGATCCTAGAGCCTTAAAATGTGTTTTCATAGGATACTCATCCACACAAAAGGGATATAAATGCTATCACCCACCATCACGAAAATTCTTCGTGTCCAGAGATGTCACCTTTTTTGAGCACAAAAGCTACTTCCACCAAGATCATCCTCAAGGGGAGACTGCAAGAAAATAGGGGGAGACTGCAAGAAAGGAAGATGATCTTCTTATGCTCCCCGACTTAAGCTTGGGACCAGAAATAGGGACTAAAAGTGTAACAACTGAGAAGGAACCCACTAAATCCATTCAAGATGGAGCTGATGGAAGGTTTGGAAAAGGACTGGGTTATACAAGGGAGAAAAAGGCCATTCTAGAATCTGTCCATGTCCAACAATCCAACCCAACATTACATGAGGTAACTACCCTTGATCCTTTAATCTTCACAAAATCAACCTCTGATTTCCCAACTTTATAGGAACCTGAAACCAATCCAGCACCACTTTATGAGGACTTAGATATTCCAATTGTCCTTAGGAAAGAAACCAAGAAATGTACCACCAAGCCACTGTACCCTCTAGCCAATTATCTATCCTTTAGAAACTTATCACCTACCCATAAAGCCTTCCTCACAAGCCTAAACACTACAACAACACCTACCTCTTTATCTGAGGCATTGAGTATAAAAAATGGAAACAAGCCATGCATGTGGAAATGAAAGCATTAGAGAAGAATAGTACCTGGGATTTGGTTGCTCTCCCAAATGGAAAAAAAACCAGTAGGGTGCAAGTGGGTATATACTATAAAATACAAGGCTGATGGATCCATTGAGAGGTACAAAGCAAGGTTAGTAGCTAAGGGATTCACTCAAACCTATGGAGTGGATTACATGGAAACATTTGCACCAGTTGCAAAAATGAATACAGTTAGGGTGATATTGTCCCTAGCGGCTAATTATGGTTGGAACTTGCAACAATTTGATGTTAAAAATGCCTTCCTCCATGGAGAAATTGAAGAGGAGATTTACATGGAATTGCCCCCTGGATATGGTGAAAAAACAGCTGCCAACACTGTTTGCAAGCTAAAAAAGGCATTGTATGGGCTGAAACAATCACCACGAGCGTGGTTTGGAAGGTTTACTAAAGTTATGATAAGTTTAGGCTTTAAACAAAGTCAAGGAGACCACACTCTGTTCATTAAACACTCTAAGTCAAGGGGAGTAACAGTGTTACTGGTTTATGTGGATGATATTATAGTGACAGGTGATGATGAGGAAGAGCAACGATTGTTAGACCAACATCTAGCCAAGGAATTTGAAATTAAGACCTTGGGAAAATTGAAGTATTTTTTGGGGATTGAAGTGGCTCATTCTAAAAAGGGGATATTCATATCTCAACAGAAATACATCACTGATTTGTTGAAAGAGACTGGTAAGACAGCATGCAAGCCTGCAAGTACACCAATTGACCCAAACCTGAAATTAGGAAACGCAGAAGAAGATACTGCAGTTGACAAGGAAGGATATCAAAGGCTAGTTGGTAGACTGATATATTTATCTCACACTAGACCTGATGTTGCATTCGCCGTGAGTCTAGTCAGCCAGTTCATGCACCAGCCAAAGGAGGTTCACTTACAAGCTGCACTAAGAATTGTGCAGTATTTGAAAGGGACCCCAGGCAGGGGAATTTTATTCAAACGAAATAGGAATGTAAATCTGGAAGCATATACAGATGCAGACTATGCAGGGTCAATTGTGGATAGGAGGTCAACTACGGGATATTGCACTTTCCTTGGAGGGAATCTTGTGACTTGGAAGAGTAAAAAACAGAGTGTGGTAGCCAGATCCAGTGCTGAAGCAGAGTTCAGGGCAATGGCACAAGGGATATGTGAACTACTCTGGCTGAAGATTATCTTGGAAGACCTAAGGATAAAATCGGATGAACCAATGAGACTTTATTGTGATAACAAATCTGCTATTAGCATAGCTCATAATCCGGTGCAACATGATAGAACCAAACATATTGAAGTTGACAGACATTTTATCAAAGAAAAATTAGATAGTGGTCTGATATGCACTCCATATGTCTCCTCACAAGACAACCTTGCAGATATTCTAACAAAGGGGCTGAACAGCAACATCTTTGAGAAGATTGTTTCCAAGCTGGGAATGGAGAATTCCTATTCACCAGCTTGAGGGGGAGTGTTAGAATCTGTTTTATTAGAATCTGTTTTATTAGCTGTGTTAAGATATTCTAAGATATAGTTTAGATATATTAGTTTATCTTTTCCTAATTTATAGTTTATCTTAATCCCTAAACTTTAGGGATTGTTTCTGTTACTTGTCTATTTATTTGATTGTACCCATCAATTCGGACTAATAAGAAAAATTATTCTACTCTAAATTTGAGAAGGATTATCTAGGAAGTTAACAACAAATATGATCATCTAGGGAATTTGTTAGGAAGAATAAGTTTAATTATGTTTAGTCCTCCAAATTTGGGGTGTATATTTTTTTGTTCTCCCAAATTTAAAACATGTTTCTAGCCCATGTAATTTAAAAAATATTGTTTTAGTAACTATATTTTTTTTGGTCCTTCAAATTTAAAACGTGTTTTTAGTCCCAAAAATATCAAAAAATATTATTTTAGTCTCTTTATTCAAATGTCGATAGTAAACCTGCCAAATATAACTCACTTATTACCGATTCTATCACACAAAATTGTTCTACTAGTGTCTTTGTTTAATAAAACATCACATTAAACCAATTGATATTATATAACTGTCTTAATCTATCACTGTCAGTTATGTTTTTAGTGGTTCCAAGGGATTAAAACAATATTATTTGAAATTACATGGACTAAAAAGATAAATAAAAACAATTTATCCTAAATTTGAAAGACAAATAATTTTTGATATTTCGAATACTAAAAACAAAAATTTTAAATTTGGGGAATAAACATAATTAAGCTGAAAGAATATTAAAAGGGGACAGGGGAAGTGTATGGGCACCAGCTGGGGTTTTTCTTTAGGAAGTTGTTCAGAGCTTATGCTCTGGGAAAAGGGGTAGCAGATCACTACCTATAACTCTTTTATTCAATAAATCAGTTCTTTATATTATCAGGATTCTATCATACATCGACTAAATGAATAGTTTAACCAAAATGGAATGTTATTAATAACGGTTATTCTAATAAACTTGAATATGAATAATTTCTTATTGAATCTGAATTGATGGGTACAATCAAATTAATAGACTTGTAACAGAAACCAATCCCTAAAGTTTAGGGATTAAGATAAACTATAAATCAGGAGAAGATATTCTATAATATATCTAAACTATATCTTAGAATATCATAGAATATCTTAACAATAATCATGTCATTTAACTGTTGATGGCATGGTCAACCTTACTCCATGAACATGCTTATGGATGGGCAGAAGAATAGCTAATAATTGTTTAGATCTGCTGATTTTATTATTTTAATTTGAGGACTTCCTTTCCGTAGGTTACCCCTCGGCTTAAAGAGCTACAGTTATTTAGGATACAGCAGGAATCCAAGTCGGCAGAGGAAAGTGAAAAGAATACAAAGAGAAATGCTCGTGAAAAGAGAAAGATGGGGTCGGATATAACTGAAGAACAGTCTTCATACAAGCGACTTAGAGATGTTGGAAATCCAGAGAAAGCACCTGAGGAGAATAAACATCAAGTGCAGAACTCTTCTCAGGTGACAAAAGTGGAAGGGGTCAATTGGAAGAATACTAAAATTGATGATAACCCAAGTGAGCAACAGTTTAGCCACGAAAAAAACAGAGCATATTCTGATCACTGCACTGCTTTTATATCAAATCTTCATCCTACGGTAGATAGTATTCTTAGCCTCGTTATTTCTGTGTGTTTCTATGACTAATAAGTTGTGTTATTGCAGGCAAATTATGAACATAGTATTCTTAGACTCTATCTTTATGTGTTTCTGTGACTAATAATTTGTGTTATTGCAGGCAAATTATGAACATATTCGTAATTTCTTCAGTGATGTTGGTGGAATTGTTGCCATACGGATCCTGCATGACAAATTCACTGGAAAATCAAGGGTATCAAATGACTTATTTCTTACTGTTTGTTTATTTTTTTAGCCTAAATTGATTTAGAAAGTAAACTGCTTGTCAACTATAAAACTTCAAATGGATTTCAATATGTTAAAAGCCCCCATGTTGGTTTCCCTAGTTGGGTGTATGGGCTGGAGTGTTGCCTTCAGTTCCATAACCTTGCTATTTCAGGGATTTGGCTTACATTTTTACCTGTCATTTTGTTGATAATAAAAATACTTTTAGTTCAGGGGGAGCACAAAACAGTGGGGAGGTCACATTCCATGGGTTTAGTAACCATACTTATGGAGTTAACACCATACCTGATTTAAAACCTCAAGGAATTAAGTTCATTTTTTCCACTTATATGGTCCTCATCCTCATTTAGTCCATTATTCCCATGTGGGACTTTTTTAATTCACTTGAATCTAACAAGTAATACAAACATTAGTTACTAGTTCAGCTGAGGCCATGTTACACCGCAGCAAATGAGTGCTATATGGCTATTCACTGATCATACCATAAGTCACATATGTTTATCTTGATATTAATGAAGGGACTAGCATATGTGGACTTCATGGATGATGAACACCTTGCTGCTGCAATTGCTAAGAACAAGCAAAAGTTAATTGGAAAGAAGCTAAGTATTGCTCGGTCTGACCCAAAGCGAGGTGGAAGGGAATCTTCTAATCCAAAGACATTGAAAGAACATGGTATGTGCAATTTGAATATTTTTACTTAGACATAACATAAGGGCATGCATGGATGTGCTGGCACCTGTAATCCTCTCTGCTAGTAATCTTGATGTATACTTGATACTTTGTATAGATATATAGAAAGTTGCAGTTATCTAATAATTACATGTAAAGCACGAACTCCTTTTCTATCTAATACGTTACAATACTGGACACATTTCGGACATTGACACCTAGTTAGCATTTGTTTGACATGTGTTAAACACTTCTCTTCAAGTGTCAAATTAGAATGCTATTTTTTGTCTGCTTGGACACATGAGTGACCTGACCCCTTCTATATGGATGAACACACTACGATTGTTAAAAATATATAATTTTTTTTAATATTTTGAAAAGTAAGCTTAAAATATACAAATTTTTAAAAAAATGTCTTTTTACCCCTTTTTCTAATTTGTAAAACTCTATTATAGGAAAAACTTATTAGAAAGTTGATTGAAGAAGGTAAATATATCTTTCTTAAAAAATATAGCTTCATTTTTTATTTTGAGATTTTTTGTTAAGAAACCAAGTTCTTTTGCCGTAAAATAATGGTTATTAATAATCATTTTTTGGCTCTTTATTATAAGAAAAAGTCATGTAAATATTTATTATCAATTTAGATCTTTATTATGTTACTCTTATTTCATTTCAATAACTCTATACAATCCATCTTTGTCGTGTTAGGTAACTTGTGATGAAACATGTGAATATCAGAAAGAAACTATGGAATTATATAAACATTTAGGCTTGTAATTAGTTTGGTTAGGGAACTGTCAACAATACAACATGTTCTTTGTCATACACAACAAGAAGGTTATATATATATATATGTATATATTATTTTTCTTTTTTTAGTTTTGCAGCCATAGTTGTTGCTCCTTGGCAATCTTTAATGACATTTGTTATATGTGCTTCCTTTGCTTTTCTGGTTGATAGAGTAACTGTTGGCTTTGTTTATGTCAATATCATCTAACAAAGTTTCTGTAACATTTAACTTGAATTTTCAGTACATACAACTAATCATTCTAGTCAAAAAGGTTCCTTATCCAAAGAAACTGAGGATACTTACAAGGAAGATGTAAAGGATGCGAAGTTGTCTTCTACAAAGCCAGGAAATGATAATATCCAGCTTAAAGGGAAGAATACTTTTGCCGTGCCTAGAAATGTCCGACCTCTTGGTTTTACTGCAAATAAACCAAAAGCAGAAGATGCGGATGAAAAGCCAAAATCCAATGAAGAATTCAGAAAGATGTTCATTCGTTAAAAGGCTTTTGTGCCCCTAATTTGTGACTCAGAAGATGGCAATTGTCTTTCAATTTTTTGTCGTAGGTGGAAAAGATGCAAGTTATGTGTCTAGAATGACTCTCGTTAAGGGTGTTGCATTACTAATTAGATCGGTCTACCTATATTAACATTCGGGTAGTCTTAACTGTTTACAATTGAAGTACAGAATGTTTTGGACTTTTGGTTGAAGCTTTGTATAATGTACGGATATGAAAATTTCACAGTATTGTTTCACTATAATAGATAAATTTTTATTCACGATGTTATTTTAACTGGTGTTGTCATTAGTCTTCAAGTAATTCGAATTTTGGATTTGATAAAAGAAATTAACAGTGGAAGAAATAATTTTAATGCAATCAAAGTGACTAGATTTTCTCTCAAGTTGACGTTAGACACTTGTTTGCGAAAAAACGTGTATTATGTTGGGTTTGGGTGACTATATTGTTCTTGAACTTTAAAGCTAAATTTTTGAACAGTTAAAATGTCTTTAAAGAAATTATGAAAATTAAATTATTTTAATAGTTAATTATATAAATAATTGATTATTGTTATAATTAATTATGATAGGAATGAAATTTTATTTGGGTAAATTTGTTGTAAAATGATTTCAATGTTTATTTTTTTTAGAGTTAATCACTTATATATTGTCAGTGTAAAATTTGTTTACACTGGTAACTAATTATATCTTTTAATTATGCTATGTCATTATAAACACATTTACTTTTAACAGTGACATGACACAATTAAAAGATATAATTGGTTGTCAGTGTAAAAAAACTTTATACTGACAAATGTATAGGTGATTAACTCTTTTATTTATATAACAAGAAAATAAGTTTTTGTTATAAATAAACTTAAAAGTAAAATCTGTTAAAAAATAATCAAAATCTTTAAATTTTCAACTTATGAAAAAAAGTTGTTTATAAATTTAAGCCATTATTTCAAATATATTACTTATTTTGTAAACAACTCTTTTCCTAAAAAGTTGAAAGTGAGAAAATTAATCTTTTTCAAGCATTGATTTGAATTAATGAAATAAACTATTAAATGATATTCAATTTTTAAAAAAAATTTATAAATTTAATTTATGCATTAGAAATTTTAAATTTAATAGTTGGATTGTTGAAATTTAATATAAAACATGAGTTATTGAACGAAGTAATAAGCCTAAGTAGATTCAAACAATATAGGTATAATTTTTATTAATTATTACACTACTCAATAATTTTTAATTAAATGTGAATTTTGTTGATCTAGCTGTTGAATTATAACTTCATATTACATTTTATGTTTATATCAAATTTTGTTAAAATTAAGCAATAATTTGAAGGTAATCAAAATGTTTATATTTTAGTATATTTGAAATGTATATATTATATTAATTTTTTTTCTATAAGAATGATGTATTAAATCATCTTGAATTAATATATAATTGTGTATATATGATCTAGGAGTAAGAAACTTTCAATCTATCAGTGAATTTTGAAAAATTCACATTTAATTGATAGTTATTAAGTAATGTAAGTTAATAAAAATTATATTAGTGGCATTTCAATCATTGTCACACATGCACGCATGCACGTACGCACGCGGGCATACACAAACAATTGAATCACCAATTGATACTCCTTCTACTCCTTCTAAACACAGCAAAAAAAGTATTTTTTTTTCTAATTTAAGTACAAACAAATTTTAATTAGTTTGGCCCTATTTAATGCTATTATTTAAAAAATTATCCTTAAATTAAATGTGATTACTATTTTCAATAAATATTATTAAGGATAGTTTAAGAGGTAAAGTTTAATTAATTTTTATATGAAATAAATAAAATTAGATGATCTTAACCATTTTCTTTTATATTTTTACTTATATATAAAAATTCGTTTACTCTAGAAGTAAATCTACCTAAATTTACTTCGTTTAATAACTTATATTTTACATTAAATTTCAATAATCTCACCATTAAAATTAAAGTTCTTAATGCATATATCAAGTTTATAAATTTTTTAAAAATTTAAAAATTATTTTATATTTTATTTTATTAATTTAAATTAATATATAAAATGATTTTATAATTATTTATTAACTTGAATTAATGAAATAAAATTTATACATTAAAATTTTTAAATTTAATGATTAGATTGTTAAAGTTTGATATAGTTAAACAGAATAAGTGAAAAGGAAATTCATTTCAGTAACAATAAGTGAAAAGGATTGGTGAAATAATTCTACTCATATAATTAAACTTAATTTTAAGTCAAATAAAATTTTAAATTGTACGTATACTATTAGTTTAAGAGTGATGTGAGGCTTATTAGTTTTCATAAAGTTTATTTTCTAAGAAGTATGGGTAAGAAAAGATTGGATTAGGATGGATTATTTATTTATTTTTATATGCTTTCAAAAGTTGAAGAGATTATTTATTTAAATTTGAATTCAATTCGACAAATATTTAAAATATATGGGACAAAATAGATCAATTCGATATTTTAACTTAGTATATATTAATGCATATATAGTTAGAGCATGAGGTAAAAAAAGAAAAAATTTAAATTAAGATATATTTTATAATATATATTTTAAAATAAATAATACTATTATAAATATAATCTAATGTTATATAAAATATTATTTATTAAAAAAAAAGTTTTAATGTTATTTTGTCTATCTAATTTAATTTTTAATTATCATAATTA